GAGTGGGCAGACAAGAGCAAGGAGGTGGAGTGATGGAGGTGGTGGCAGACGAAAAAATGGCCCCCCAAAATGCCCTGACTCCCCTGGTCCCCCAAACTTGCAAATATGCCACCTCAGGCAGCAAAGAGGACTCCCCGGATGTGATTGGGTTAAGGCTCTTGAGACTCCCTCAGCACTGCCAGTGCAACCCTAGGGTACTTATAAAGAGGAAAGACGGTCTGAGAGAAGGAGGTGTGAGGACAGAAGCAAGGTCAAGGTGATGCGGGAAGCGCATAAGGAACACAGGTGGCCTCCGGGATGCCAAACAGGCAGGGACACAGATTCTCCCACGAGGCCTTCAGAAGAAACCAGCCCTGCCGACCTTAACCCTAACCCTACCCCCAACCCTAATCCTAACTCCCAGCCCTGACCCTTAACCCCTAACCCTAACCCCAACCCTAATCCTAACTCCCAACCCTGACCCTTAACCCCTAACCCTAACCCCAACCCTAATCCTAACTCCCAACCCTGACCCTTAAACCCTAACCCTACCCCCAACCCTAATCCTAACTCCCAACCCTGATCCTTAACCCCTAACCCTAACCCCAACCCTAATCCTAACTCCCAACCCTGACCCTTAAACCCTGACCCTAACCCCAACCCTAATCCTAACTCCCAACCCTAACCCTTAACCCTTAACCCCTGACCCTAACCCCTATCCCTTAACCCTAACCTCTAACCCCTAACCAACCCTAACCCTTAACCTAAACCCTTAACCCCGAGCCCTAGCCCCAACCCTAACCCTTAAACCCTAAGCCTTAACTCACAACCATTAACCCCAACCCTTAACCTCTAGCCCTAACTCCTAACCCTAACCCTTAACCCCTATCCCTTAACCCTAACCTCTAACCCCTAACCCTGACCGTAACCCCTAACCCTTAACTCCTGACCCTAACCCCTAACTCCAACCCCTAACCCTTAACCCCTAACCCTAACCCCGGCCCTGACCCCTAACCCCAGCCTTAACTCTTAACCCGTAATCCCTAACCCTAACCCCCAACCCTTAACCCTAACCCTTTAACCCTTAACCCCTAGCCCTTAACCCCTAACCTAACCCCCCCCCCCGACTTTGGCCCGATGAGACAGACCTGAGACCTTTGGCCGCCAGGACTGTGAGGTGACTCGTGTGCATGACTCTGAGCCCTGGAACGGGGCTGCTTGTTACAGCAGCCACGGGGTTCAGGCCCAGGGAGGTGGGGGGAGTCCGCCAGTGGGGACGGAAAGAGAAGCGAGAGTCCACACCTTCAGATGGCCCATCTGGAGGCAGAGCACAAAGGCCCCTGGGCCCACCCGCCAACGAAGGGAAGACAGAAGGGCCCTGCCCCGTCTGGGGAAGACAGGAGAGGCCATCGGGACTCACTGAACCCCACAGTCACGCGGGTACAACCCCACGGTCCCCTGATGCTGTTGAGAGAAAGCAAATGCCCTTTAGTGACAGCGTCCCTGCCCATTCCGGCCGTTGACTCCTCACACCTCTGGTGGCTAAAAAGTAACCCCTCACAGTTCGTTTCTTAACAGACCCATCGATTGACCCGGTGGGCTGTCCAGCACGGGGATACGTGTGTTCATAGACACATCTCATTTTTCTTTTTAATAAAAACATAGCTCTCAGAGATATCCTGCGGGGGAAACAGCACTCCGGCCAAGGCGTGATGGCCTTAATGGGCCCGGGGCTGATTTTTCCACCGACACAGAACACTCCACGTGAACAGCTTCGCACGTATCTCAGTGATCCTCCCACGGCCAGAGGGACGGGACATTCACAGGGTCAGCGAGCCTTCCGCTGGCTCGGAAAGGCGTCCGGGCCACCGAGGTTACTGGGCCACTGAGGCCTCTTTGGTCCTCCTTCCCTCGGGGACCCGGCCAGCGGAGCCCTTTCAATGGCCATCTCATGGGGCTGGAGGAGCAGGGGAGCGGCTCTCAGGCCGCAGGAGGGGTGGCAGCGATTCCCTCGGAGAAATGACAAAGCCCGTTTGTGCCGGGCCCACGGGATGGGGCTCGTGACCCCGGCCGGCTGCCAGCGGGCGCTGGAGCCCCATTCACTCGGTGGAACTGGGGCGCGATGGCTATCTTGGGGCCCTTCGCAGAGCCCGCTCTCCTGAGACCCAGGGAGAGGCAGCAGCAGAATCTCACCTGCTGTTGGCTCCGCCTCTCGGGTGCGTGGGAAGCTCTAGAAAGCCCTACTTTCTGTCTATTCAGACCTGCTTCCTGCCAGAGGTTTGGCTAAGACAGAGCAGCCGAGCAACCCCACGGACCAAACCAGATTCCAGGCCGGGTGTGCCCACGGGCGGGGCCTTCCCCTCCCGGGCCTCCTCCCAGCCGCAGTCTGTTTGCTACAATGGCAACTAGCCGGCTAATGCCTTCCCCTCCACGGGCCAGGGAGTCGGCGGCCAGAATGATGTCAAGTCCCAACAGCCAGGAAGGGACCGAGCTGTGCAGGAAAACAGCCTAGTGCGTGAGCTCTCAGAGGGGCTCCTCCAGCCCCGTCAAGCGTTCAGAAGAAGCAGCGGCCTGGGGCCCACAGCTTGACTGGGACACGGAGAGGCTCCCAGTCAGGACCCCTGGCTGAGCCGCTCCCGAATTCCTGGCCCACAGAACCTTTTGAAAATCTGTGTTTGTTGTTTTAAGTTGCTACACGTGGGTAATTTGATATCCATCCGTAGATACTAAAGTCAGCAAGGGGAGCCTCCTGGCGGGAACGCTAGGGTCTCCCCCTTCTCTAGAATGTCTCAAGAAATTAAAAACCTCCAGTGACCCCGGGACTGCCCCTCCTATTCTCTGGGAGGGGGATGGGGTGGGGGCAGGGCTCACACAAAGCCAAGCACGGCCCCCCTCGCCCTGCCGAGCGAACTCATCTGCCCCTCCTCCTTCACTCACCCGCCCACCCATCCCACAAACACCAATTAAGGGCCCACTCCATCCAGTTGCCCGAAAAACAGCATGGCGCAGGACAGACCTGTTCTCCAGAGCTTCCCCTTTGATGGGGAAAGGTGGTGAGGAGACAAGCAAGAACATAATTTCAGACAGACCTGCGTGTCCCGGAGAAGACAAAACCAGGCAACGGGGACATCGACTGAACAGGGAGCAGGGCAGACTCTGGGTGCAGAGTGAGCGGGAGGTGTGCCCCACTCCTTGTGGGGGCGACGGAGAGCACAGGGAGTTCCCCAGAGCAGACGGCAAAGGTGACTGAGGACTCCAGGGAAGGAAAGAATGGAGGACTCCCCCGCTCCCAGGTGCGGGGGAGTCCTCCACGCCGCTTACTTTTCGGATCCACACGCCACCTGTAGTGATTTTCCAAACACAAACAGGAAAAAAATACTGGGTACCTCCACCCCAAGTTCAAATGGTTCCTTCTCTAATTAAAAATGCAAACTTGTCCTGCCTGTCCCAACCTGGGAGCATAAGATTTAGTGAGAACGTCAGGGGAGTTACGGGGAAACGGACTTGGGGTGTGCAATCCCCAGCACGTTGCCCAGGAAAGCGGCACCTGCTACCAGTGTGTGCGGCAGGAGGTGGGGACAGGACTGTCAGATCTCTGGGTGTCCTGCGCCAGCTCGGTTGAGTTTTGCACGACCCGAAGGCCCTGCCAGAGCGCGCCCAGGGCTGCGGCACGAAGCCAGTGCCCGGGTCAGGGTAGCTCGGCATCTTGTTGAACATTCAGCAGCGTCCAAGTAAACTGCGTGATTCTTTAAACCACGTAAACTACAGTGTTGGATTATTTTCTCCTGGAAGGAGTATAAGATAGGAGTGGTTGTGTTTGTTTTTCATTTGTTTTCATTGCTTTAAGAGAGGAAGAGAGGGAGAGAAACAGACCGGTTCAGCCGGCAGTATGTGCCCTGACTGGGAACTGAACCCACAACGTTTTGGTTACAGACGATGCTCCAACCGACTGAGCCGCACCAGCCAGGGCACGTTTTTCTTTCTGGATGTTAAAGAACAAGGTAGGACAAAATGCCCTCGCACCCTACAGGACCTCGGAGGTCCTGGCAACGAGGTCCTGTAGACTTCCTGACACCCAGGGCCTCCAAGTCAGTCCAAGGACGTACCTTTGTGAGACCCAGGTAGTGAAAGAAAGAGGCAAATGAATACTGTCCCCTCCTGCTCCCTAGCTGGGCCCACACACAAGAGTCCATTAAACTCACTGACGCAGGCCTGCTGGGGAGCTGGCAAAGCCCCGGTGGGGTTAGGTTTCCCCCGTTCAGTCCCCAGCCAGGATCTCAGATGTCCGCCCTCCCTGTCATCGAAGCTGGGTCCCGGGGACCCCACAGAATGGCCAGGGACCTGGCAAACACCCCTAGGCCCAGCCACCGAGAACTCGGGCCAGCCAGCACCTCCCCTCTGAGCTTCTCCATCTCTGAAGTGAAACTGTTGGCCTAGAAAACCTTCATCTCTAATTCCAAAAAAAATTAAAACAAAAAAAGCACAAAAACAAAGCCACTCTAGGAAGACAGCGCGTGTCCGCTGCATATGCCCCGTCAGCTGCTTTAACTTACTTCATCCTCGCGACTCTGGTAGGAGTTTTTCGTTTTATCAGTTGCCCCCCCCCCCACTTCTAAATGAGGAAATAAAGTCCAGGAACAGTAACATGCCCAACCCGAGGTCACGACAGGTACGCAGGTGGCCGGCCTTCACCCTGAGGTCCGTCTGGGTGCAAAGTCCATTTCTTCACGCCACTCTGCCTCTCAGTCACCCTTGATTTCTTTACCAGCTTTCATTACGAATCCCTGGTCAGGCGAGCCTGCTGGGAGACATCACAAAGCCATCATGCCCTCCCCACCCCCACCTCCAGGAGGATTTCAGAGTCTGTTTGCATTCACGGGGCGCAGGCGTCGGTCCCTGCAACCTTGCTCTCCTGGCCGCCGCCGCATCTCTCAACGGCGCCACACACACTGGGGGAGCCCCTCTTTCACAGGCTCCCCTGACCAGCCCTGCAACCCCAGGAAAAAGGCACCATTGTTACCCCCACCGTGGAGGACACAACAGACCCAGGGAGGTGGAGACAAGCGCCCTGAGGGCCTCGTCTGTGCGGCTGCCGTGCCCGAGGTGGGTGAGGGGGGGTGTTGAGCTCGTCACCACCCGGCACCGGGCACACTCCAAAGGCAGACAGGACGGGCAAGCTCCTGACACCCGGTGTCCCAGGGGCTGAGACTGTCCTGTCACTTCAACTCACTCTGGTCCACGGTTGTTTTTTCTTCCTTTCTTGTTTTTTTTTTCTTCTAGTTTTTTAACGTTTTATTAACAATGGTTAAAAATAAGAAGGAATCATAAAAGTAGCTTTAAGAAATCAGAAAAAATCCTTCGAATGTCAAGAAAAAATATATAGCCTTATTTAAAATAGCATCCCATGTCTCGTGCATTTGCTACCCAGTATGATGATTGTAAGTAAGCATTAAAATGCATGCCCTTCAGGCTACTGTTCATGTCAAGAGCTGATTGGCTGACCGACTACGGGACGTCCACGTCTGGGAAGACTCAGCGCCCAGACGACGGGCAGAGTCCTCACTGCCCCGGCTGTGCCACGCGGTCACGGGCCTCGGAGACTCTGCACCCCAATTCAGAGGCAGCAGGAGTCATTTCTAGCGCTCAAAGCATCAAGATCCAAGTTTGCCTTCACACTTGACACCTGGGGGGAAGAGCCCTCAGCCCCAATGTCACCCCAAAAAGCACAGGCAGGGGTGGAGTGGCCTGGGGAGGAGACCAGGGGCGGGACCGGGAGACCTCAGCGCAGACGGCAGCGCTCGGCGGGCCCAGAACTGCACAGGTTCGCCTGGGTTCCGGAGGTGAGAAGTCCAAGGTCGGCCAGCGGTGTGCTTGGCGCCTGGTCAGGGCTCTCTCCTGGGCTGCGGGGTGTCTCGCTGCGGCAGTCTGGGCCCAGCTCTTCTGTGTGCCTGGGACAGGACTCCTGTTCGGTCCGTTTCGGGCAGTTCTCGGTGATGGCTGTTCTGCAATTCAGTTGTGGTTTTGATGTCGCTGTGGGAAGAATGGAGAACCGAGTTCACTTAGGCGACCGTTTCTGAATGTCCTTTCTATGGGGACAAGGACACCACGGGCTTCCCGGCAGAGCCCCAGCTTTCGACCTGTCCCTGAGGACTCGCTGGGAGCCAGGCCTCTGACGGACTTTGGCTGATTGTTCCCATGACGCGCACGGACAGTCACAGCCTTTGGGGGGGTGGGGGGTGAAAAAGGAGGTGATCCACTGAGTGGCCATGTTTCCATTCACACCTTCCGATGGCTTCTCAGACACTAATACCCCAGACTCCTGCCCGACATGACCTGGGCCTTGCCTGCCTCTCCTGCCCTCGAACCTGACCTGAGCTGTCGGGTCAAGATCGTGCCTCCCTCCAAGTGAGAGCAAGTTCGCCCACCGCCTTGGAAGATGCCACGGAGCAAAAGGAAGGCAGGCTGACTGCCCCACTGTGAGGGCTCCCAAACACACGGGGCTCCGCCCGAGAGGGGTGCCTTGCCCGCCCTCCTCACCCCCACCCCGTGGGAGTCGGGGCTTGGGAAATTGGCAGGAGAAAACACTGTCGCTCCGCTACTGCTGTCGCAGTGATAATAAAGTCCTTCGTCCCCGACCCTGGAGTCTCTGTCTTCTGCTGCCACCCATAAACGGTGGCATGAAAGGCAAAGCCTCAGGCCCCTCACAGTGCGGACACCCACGGCCTCGCCTGCTCCCAGTACCGGTGACAGCTCGGAGCCCCGGGGCCCCAGAAGCCGGGCTACTCCTGGGTGTAGGACGGCCAGGGGTTTAATTTAGAAGCTGTCACAACTTTGTAAGGGAATCCCGTTAGCATCGCGGCGTTTATAGCCTGTGGGGTAGGAAGGGGTTGCTGACTTTGCATCATCCTCAAGAAGAAAAAGCAGCAAAAAGAGGAGGAGGAGTAGAGCAAAAAGAAGTTCTTTAGAAATTAATTTCCTCATTTAAAAATATTGTTTTCCTACCTAGACTGAGCTCCGTGGGGACTGAAAGATGTCGAAACATTCCCTTCTGCCCCTAAATAACCTTCGGTCTCCTGAGGGAGGTGCCTTGGGCATCAATACCTGGAATGAAAGCAGAGGGAGTGACGCGGCCACCCCGAGGCCACGCTGCGAGGCAGGACAACTGCTGCTGGGCTCACAGGTGGGAGTGGGGCGGGGGGTGCCTATGAAATCTGGGGGTCTGATGCTGGTATGCATTTGCCGGGGTATAGAGTCGTGCTGCTGAATAAAGAAAGGCCATGAAAAGGTGACAAATGGAAGAGTGGAGAAGTGTCATGGGGTGGAAAGTGACAAGGGAGCAAAGGGCGAATGTGGAGGACAGGGAGACTGGAGGCCGGGGTCTGTGAAGTGCTCCATCTCAGCAAACCCGCTCCCCTTCCCCTCCGGCCGCCCCCCAGAAGGGCCTGCGGCAGGGAGGGAGGACCGCCGTCCCGACACAGCCAGTCCCCGACTCAGCCCCAGCTGACGTCACAACTTCAGTGATGTCACAGCTCCTTTTCATTCCTGCGAATTCTAATGTCACTGGTCTGGCGTGCTGGCACCCTCCCGCTTTGCTGAACATGCTCGAGCGACACAAATCTCTGAGATTCGTGCGATTTTAAAATGTTAGAGCAGGAGAACCGGCTATGGTTATCGGATCTAATTTCCACAAGCCCTTACTTAATGTGTCATGTTTTTAAAGATGCAATTTGATATCCTTTAAGATTGGGCAACAATCTTACAATCCTAGCAGGGAAAAATGAGAGGTTTTTTTCTTCTTATTCTTTTTTTTTTTTTACAAAAACAAATAGACAAACCGGCTTGTCCAATGGAATTTATGGAAACTCATCAGGACGGACCTTCTGGATTCCTGAAATACTCACACCCCGCCCGTTCTTCCCCAAGTGGCCTCAAATCAGCACCAGATTGCAAAGGAGGAGGGCTTATCAGCAACACTCATGAGTCAGCCGGCCGCTGGATACCCAGTAATTACCTAACAACAGCAGATCAGAAGTAGGCCAGGGGTCACGTGCACACGCCCGGCCCGCGGGTGGTTCAGAAGAGACAACAGAGTAACCGACGGAGGGCGGCGGTGTCTGACCTTCAGGCGGGTGTTGTGTGCCCTTCAGCCCCATGGGGCCCAGGTCCCTGGGTCCAGGAGCCAGTGTAGTGAGTGAGGTACTGTCCTCAGTGGTGGGAGGTTCCTCCCTGCAGCCCACGAGGGCTCTGCGGCCCCCCCCCTCTGCACCTCCCAGTGCTAATTCCAGCCATGTGCCTACGCAAGGCGGGTTGTAGCTGCTGCCCACAGAGGTGCCTGAGTGAACACCGGAGGCAGTTCCGGCGAGGACACCCCTCACCTCCCCCAAGTTTCCCACTAAAAACGAACTGTCACTCAGCAACCAAAGCAGCTGAGGTTAGCTCAGGAAATTACCTCCCCCAGGCAGCCCACCATCTGGGACCCCAGTCTCGCCCACTAGTCTGCAAAGGTGGGCTCATGACAAGGGAATGGTACATGCGTCTGTTGCAAACGACTGTGCGTCAGTGGGGTTCGGGGGTAGACAGCTCAGCGGTGTGTTTGCGGCTAAGGAAATGCGCTGGTCAGAGGAGTTCGCAGGGAGACGATGCTCTGAGGGTCAGTCACTGAACGTTTCCCTTTTCCTAGCCCAACACACCCTAATCGAGAGGGCCCTGGACCAGGTGAGCGGAGGGCTCCAGGGGAGAAGCTCTGGCATTGCCAGCGTTGGCCCCCACGGTAGTGGCGGTGTGGTCACACTGTCAGGGAGCGGAGGTCTGGCCGGAGACGCCTTCCTGGGGTGCTCAGGCCTCCTCCAAAGCACCCCAGTCCGCATGCTGTGGTTCCCTGGAGACCTTTCAGAGTTCTCCAGTGATAAACCCCCACTTGGGTGAGATCTGAATGTAATTTGCTGATTTAATTTTTTAAAGTCAGCCGTATGATTCTGAGATTTCCATGCACCTGATCAACTGGTCGACAAATAGGGGAGGGGCAGGCAGGGAAGTAAAATTTTTATTTTTCTATGAGTAAGTGTAGATGGGGGCAAATGGATACAATCTGGGGGCGGAGGGAGAGGAAAGGAGCTGATTCCTGGGAAGAAATCCAGACCTCAGGGGGGCAGCCACGTGCTGAGACACCAAGTTGCATGAGAAACGGTGACGTTGCCAGTAGCGGCCCACGAGGTGAGTGGCAGGCGCAGGGGGGACCACAGGAGGCGGCGAGCTGGGCTGGGGCCAGGAATCCCCCAGGTCAGTCTCGGAGGCAGCTGTACCCCCCGTGTGCCGGGGGCCCCCGGGGAGTGTGAGTGTGTGGCTGGGTGGGCTTTGTGTCTGAGCAGCAGAACTGCTGCTCAGTCCAAGAAGATGGGCGAGGGGCAAGAGTGGTGTCGGGGACCAGGAGAGGCTGTGACAGTGACCCAGGGGAGGGGCCCCGCCAGTCCCAGGGTTCGGAGAGAGGAGAGGAGCCCACAGCACCAGGAGCCCACTGGGAGCTGAGACAGAAGAAGAATGCACCTCATTGTTCAACTGAACCCCGGGAGATGTCTGTCCCCGTTGAGATGGGACGGACGGAAGGCCGCAGGTGGTGTGCTCAGGATACAGTGGGAGAGAGGAGGGGGACCTTCCGAGGAGCTTCTGCGAGGCTTACAGCGAGTCACAGATACTGCTCTCGAGACCGGACACCGTACTCCTGCCGAAGCCCCCAGGGGTTTTCGGGCTCCTTCTCAGCTGAGATATGGTTCTGAGTCACCAGCCAGCCCTCCGGAGGCAGGTGGCTCCCTGTCACGCGGAGGGCTGGGCCCTCCCCAGGATGCAGAGTTGTCCCCCAGCCCCGCAGGCTGGCCGACCCCCACCCCAGGAATCTATCAAGTGACTGTTCATTCCTTCAGACGTTTTTGTTTTTGTTTGCAAAAGTAATGCGCACACATTGTAAACGCTCAAATAACATGCACAAAAATTTAAATTAAAATTCTAGAAAGTGAGAGTCCCTCCTTACAGCACCCCATCCTCCCATCTGCTCTTACCCAGGGGGCTAGCCGGAGGGGGGGGGCTGGCAGACCCCACCCAGAGTCACTCGTGAGACCTGGAATGGCCACACATTCCAAGAAGGCTTAGGGTTTTCAGCCTCCGGAGGGGAGGGCGGCGGCCGTGCGGTCCCATCAGCCTGCCTGTGCTCAGGGCCTGTGGCAGGGCCGCTGGGGTCGGGCCCCCTTCTCGGAGAGATGGCCCACCGAACACTGGCCTTGGTAAGAGCCGAGGACCGTGTTGGCTGAGTGTGTGGGCTTTTCCAAACGAGCCTGGCTGAGTTCAACATCTCAGACTGGCCGTGTGGCCCCAGGCAAGTGATCAAACTCTGCACTGGGTCCCCTCATCTCTAAAGCAGGACTGATCACTGCAGCTACGTCGTGGGACAGAAATGAGACAGTGCAGCTGAGACTGCTGAGAACCGCGCACGCTAAGCACCAAATAGTCTCAGCGATGACTTGGGGTTCAGTTCAACTGATCTGGGGAGCTGGCGGGGGGGGGGGCGGCGGGGGAGCTGAGAGGAGGCTCAAGACGCAGATGGCGGCGGAGACACAGGGCAGCCCTAGAATCTAGTCCCTCTAATTCGCGTTAAGAGGTTCGAACTCATCTCCTGCGGAGGATGAACTGGTCTCAGAGAAGCCGAGTGCAGCAGAGGCCTGTGGAAGGCCCGCGGTGGAGGAGCCAGCTCTCGGTACCCAGGCAGCGCGCAGGTAGACGGACGTGCATACCCCGCACCAGCGAAACTGGGACTTGAGCGCAAACCTCGACAGGGCCCATGTGGACGTGTGGCGTCGCCCCTCTGGGTCTGTGCCTTTGACCCAGACAGCTATTTGTAGGGACGGAAGGAGATGTGGAAGGCCCGATGTCTCCTGTTCCCAGCACAGAGCACAAAGTACGGGTTTGATACCCGGCCGGGGCCTTCCCCCTGCATTCCACAAATAGTTCCTGAGTGCAACGGCTTCAGAATTCTTCCGCCGCCTTCTCCAAACTGAGCCCAGGCCTCCTCTTCGCCAGGAGCTCTGATTTCGCCAGAGCAACAACTTACCCCGGTTGGCGCCACGTCCCAGAGGCCCGACTCTCGACCCTGTGCAGCCTAGGCTGTCTCGAGCCAATCGGCCTTGTCTGACACCCACTGCAGCTACAGGGATCGTAATTTCACTCAAGGAAATAGGATAATCAGCACTTCTCTGGGAGGAGAGAGAGAAGAAACCATACAAGTTATACTGAAACGTGGAATGTGTTTAAAATCAGCAACAATGACTCTAGAAATTTGCCAGCAGGGTGTGAGCCCTGGGTGGTGGGGGGAAGACACCTGCTCAGAAGGGCTCCTGGTGACTGATTAGGCTGAAATTTAAAAGCAGGGCCTAGCAGCCATTTCTGCCCAGGGGTCTCTCACGCAAACCACACTTCAGGGAGCAGCCTCCACTGAACTGCCTGCCTACACTGTGTTCCTGTGGCCGAGCCAGTCCTTATAGGAGTTGCTGGGATCCTATTTTAACCAATAGGACTGAGGCTCACGCTGAGCGAGCGGTGCAGCTGCAGCCAATCAGAGCAGCTCTGTTCTGACCAACCAGGACAGTGCCTTTTGGACCAATCAGACTGTGGGGATTCAGAGTTCTTATTTGCATGAGGATGGATCAATCAGGGACCATATAAGACAGTTCGTCTCTGGCTCAGAGAGTTCCACCAAAGACTGAATTCAGACCTTGTCTCCCCAGCTGGGCAGAAACTCCAAAGATGTCTCCCCAGAACAGAACAGAGCAGTGCAGCGCAGGCCAGAGCAGACCGAAGGGAACCTAAGTGTGGCGGGGCAGAGCTGTCTCGCTGGAAAGGGGCCTGGCCCAGGTTGCTGTTCTCACAGCTGGGCTGTAGCACAATCAAGCCATTGCCACTGAATCAAGTTTCCTTCTTCACCAGAAGCCAGACAGGGTATTCCTGTTGGCACTGAATCTGCACCAAGGACCACAAATTGGCAAGGGCCATCATTGCTTTTTATGAGTTACATTAATCCTGAAATGCCTAGGGTCGGCTTAGTCCATCTGCAGCTCACCCAGAAGGTATGCCATTCCATGCCGTGACACACTCTCGGACCGGGGAATCCGAGGACACAGAGGCTGGTAACGACACTCAGCGCCGGCCCCAGGGTGCGGAGCGCAGGTCTGTGTGGGGAGGACCCTGCCTGATACCTAGGATAAACATCAGAGTGGACAGGTGGCGAGAGCTGGAGGGGAACTTGGATGCAGGGTCTCCAGGGTCTCCAGGGTTCTCCCACAGCGGGTGCACAGGGTCGGTGCCGCCGCTCACACAGACTTCATTGCGGGTTTTAGGGACACTGTCAGTAAAGGGCCAGACAGTAAACATCGTACGCTTTGTGCGTCACACAGTCTCTGCCGCAGCCATGAGGACACCTCTGCTCTCCCTGCCCTAGAGAGAGAGGTCCGCACGTGAGCCGGCTGCAATTCCACCAAGACTTTATTTATAGGCACTGAAACTGTGTCAGGAAATATGCTACTTTTTAATTATTTTTATAAGATTTTATCTTCTATTTATAGAGAGGGGGAGGGAGGAGAAAGAAAGGGAGAAAAACATTAACGTGTGGTTGCCTTGTGAGCGCCCCCTACTGGGGACCTGGCCCACAACCCAGGCACGTGCCCTGACCGGGAATCAAACTGGTGACCCTTTGGTTTGCAGGCTGATGCTCAATTCACTGAGCCACACCAGGCAGGGCTACTTTTTAATTATTTTCAGCCATTAAAAAACTGTAAAATATCCTTCTTGGCTCATGCATTATACAAGAATAGGTGGCCGGGTGGATTTGGCCTGTGGGCTGTATGTGGCCTCTCCTGACATGGGTCTCGATGACAGCGCCGGTCCCCAGAGTGACACAGAAGGAGGGCCGGTGCGCTTTGCTCAGGTTCTGTGTGAGGAGCAGTAACTGCTGCACGAGTAGACACGTCAGGGGAGGGAGGAC